GCCGCAACCCCTCTCTGCCAGCCACCGACTCTGCCCCTCTTACCTGTGTGTATGAATGGTTGTCGGACTTCCATACAGTTTAATTTTCTGTCTGTTCTGATTGTGTTTTTGTTTCTAAATCTTTGTTGTCCTTAATTTTGGTTGTGTGAGGAGGCACAGTGTTTCCACCTATGCCTCCATCTTGGCCGGAAGTCTAATTTCCTAATTTTAATTTAGAGTTTTGGAGAGGTAAAAAATATATAAAACTGAAGTCAATATTGCTGGATAAGTAATGATAAAACTGCTTTTGACTTCCAGCCAAGAAGAAGGCATAGGTAGATATGCTTTGCTTCCTTGAACAACCAAAAGCACAACCACCACCAATTTAAAAACAAAAGGCAACCAAAACTCCCAGAAAATCAAACTGTATGGAAGTCCAACAACCAAGGGTTTAAAGAAGAAACATTCATCCAGACTGGTAGAAGGGGTGGAGATGAATAGCCAGGGCAGAGAGGACACAAGGCAAGGCAGTAGAGCAGGTGGGCAAGGTGGCGGCTGGTGGACTAGATGGCCACACATCGTGTGTGGATAAGCTGGAACAACTAGGGAGTGAGACACTGTGCAACCCAGGACTCCAGCACAGGAAATAAAGCCCCCAAACCTCTAGATGTAAAAACCTGTGGGGGTTTCAGTGGTGGGAGAGACTCCCAGTCTCAGGAGAGTCCATTAGAGAGACCCATAGGGTCTTTAAACATTCACGAACCCACTCACCCACAAATGAGCACCAGAAAGGCCCAATTCACTTGTGGGTAGTGGGGATGTAACTGAAAGCAGGGCAAGAGCTGAGCAAGTGTCATGGTTTCCTCTCTGACCCTTCCCCCATATACAGTACCACAACACAACAACGTGGATTGCCCCACCTTGGCAAATACTTAAGGCTCCACTCCTTACAATGTAACAGGTGCACTGAGACAAAAGAAATATGGCCCAAATGAAAGAGCAGATCAAAACTCCAGAAAAAGAACTAAGCAACAAGGAGGTAGCCAATCTATCAGATACAGAGTTCAAAACACTGGTAATCAGGATACTCACAGAAATTATTGTGGATGGCTGCAAAGTAAAGGAAGAAATGAAGGCTATGCAAAGTGAAATAAAGAAAAATATATAGGCAACCAGCAGTGATGGGAAAGAAACCAGGACTCAAATCAACAATTTAGAACAGAAGGAAGAAATAAACATTCAACCAGAACAGAATGAAGAAACAAGAATTCAAAAAAATGAAGAGAGGCTTGGAAACTTCTGGGACATCTTTAAACATTCAAAAATCTGAATAACAGCGGTGCCAGAAGGAGGAGAAGAAGAGGAAGAAATTAAACACTTATTTGAAAAAATAATGAAGGAAAACTTCCCCAGTCTGGTGAAGGAAACAGACATACAAATTCAGGAAGCTCAGAGAATCCCAAAGAACTTGTACCCAAGGAGCAATACACTAAGACACATCATAATTAAATTAGCCAAGTTTAAAGATAAGGAGAGACTCTTAAAAGCAGCAAGAGAAAAGGAAAGAGTGACCTTTTCTTTTCAAAGGAGTTCCCATAAGAGTGTCAGCTGATTTATCAAAATAAACCTTGCAGACAAAAAGGGGCCAGAAAGAAGTATTCTAAGTCACAAAAGCCAAGGACCTACATCCAAGACGACTCTATCCAGCAAAGCTATCATTTAGAATGTACAGGCAGATCAAATTCTTCCCAGATAAGGTCAAATTAAAGGAGTTCATCATCACCAAGCCTTTATTATATGAAATATTAAAGGGACTTAACTAAGAAAAGGAAGGATTTCAAAACTATGAACAGTAAAATGACAGCAAACTCACAACTATCAACAACCAAACCTAAAAACAAAAACAATCTAGACAAACAACTAGAACAGGAACAGAATCACAGAAATGGAGATCGCATGGAAGGTTACCAGCAGAGAGTAGGAGGGGAGAGAATGGGGGGAAAGTTACAGGGAATAAGAAGCATAATTGGTAGGTAGAAAATAGATGGAGCAGTTAAGAATAGTACAGGAAATAGAGAAGCCAGAGAACTTATATGCATGAACCATGGACATAGTAAGGGGAGGAATGCTAGAGTGGGAAGGTATAGGGTGGAAGGAGATAAAGGGGAAGAAAAAAGGTGAGACAGCTGAATAATCAGTAAAATATGCTTTAAAATTGCCTTCATTTTCACAAGTAGTTTACATTTAAAACTCCTTAGAATTCCTAACTGTAGTATATTTTAAAGTTTACTTTTTACATAGAGAAGCAAAGTTTGTAAATAAGCTAATAATATAGCAATAAACATATTTACAATTTTTTTACTATTACAGATGTTATTTTAAATGTTTATACACAACATTTTATTTTCAAGTACATTTTTTTGTCTATTTCTCCCATCCCAGCCCCACCCACCGCGTCTCCCCACCTTCCTCCCATTCCCTCCCCCCCCAGTCCTCATCCCTGTGTCTTTCATACTTGTTCCTCAAAATCCCTCCCCATTTTTCCCCTTAAATTCCCTTCCCTCTCCCCTCTGGTCACTGCCCACTTGTTCTCTATTTCAGTGTCTTTGTTTTTATTCTGTTTGCTTGTTTGTTTTATTGTTTAGCTTCCTGTCAAAGGTGAGATCATATGGTATTTGTCCTTCAATGCCTGGCCTATTTCACTCAGCATAATGCTTTCCAGTTCCATCCATGTTGTTGCAAAAGGTAGTAGCTCCTTCTTTCTCTCTGCTGCATAGAATTCCATTGTGTATATGTACCACAATTTTTTGATCCATTCATTTACTGATGGGCACCTAGGTTGCTTCCAACTCTTGGCTTTTGTAAATTGTGCTGCTATGAACATTGTGGTGCATAGGTTCTTTGAAATTGATGTTTTAGGATTCTTGGGGTATAATCCTAGCAGTGGAATTGCTAGGTCAAAAGGCAGGTCGATTTTTAGTTTTCTGAGAAAATTCCATACTGTTTTCCATAATGGTTGTACCAGTCTGCAATCCCACCAACAGTGAACTAAGGTCCCCTTTTCCCCACAACCTCTCCAACATTTGTTGTTTGTTGCTTTGTTTATTATAGCCATCCTGACTAGTGTAAAGTTACACAACATTTTATTATAAAACAATTTCACTTTTAAAATTTATGTTACATCAAAAGTAAAAGTTTAATAGGAAACAAGTATGATTCTGGTTAAGATGGAGGCATAGGGAAACACGGCTCGCCACCTTGCACAACCACATCAAAATTACAACTAAAATACAGCATAACTATCCCTCAGAACAATCAGAAATCAAGTTGAATGGAAGTCTAACAACTACAGAATTAAAGAAACATATCCACCTACACTGACAGGTGTGGTGGATAAAAAATTTGCAAGGGATACATCAGGAGTGAGGAGTCCCAGCCCCACACCAGGTCCCCTAACCTAGGGTTCCAGTGCCAGGATGATAAGTCCCCATAATTTCTGGCTGGGAAAACTCTTCTGGAGTCCCAGGCTGTTCTTCTTAAAGAACCCACACACGGACTTGCTCAGACTCAATCCCTCTGAGCTCCAGCACCAGGGCAGAAGCTTAAAAGGTACCAGTGGCATATGGGGAAGAAATGAAGTGTCTGGCATTAAGGCAAAAGCTGGGGGACAGCTTTCTCTGAGATAGAAAGGTGGGCAGAGGCCACTGTCCACCTTCTAAACCTTCCCACCACAGAGCCACAGAGTAGGCAGGCTGGGGCCATATCTGAGACTCAGTCAACCCACTCTGGAGATCCCCTAAGGCTCTGTCCCACCATACTTCCAGGCTCGGCCAAGCTGTTAACAGTAGCTTTTCCATATGAATGGCTGATCTTGGCTCATGCTTCAGAACTTCCTCAATCTTCTCAAGCAAGCAATAGCTAGCCTCAGTAAACCCCTAATCCCCATATCTCTTGCTAAGTGACCCTAGGCCAAGCACTAGCAGCAGCCAACCTGGATTCACAGTGTACCTCTTGTTCAGTGGCCCCAGGTCCAGTACTAGCAGAAGCCAACCTAGATTCACAGCCTGGCTTTGCCTGGCCTCAAGCCCAGTACAAGTAATGGCCATCTCAGATTGCTTTATAACTGATGCACGGTGGCCCCAGGCAGAATGCAGACAGGGGCTGACCTTGGCCTTCACAAACCAGAAACCCCAGAACCTATGTACTCAATGGACAGCTGCAGACCACATTAGAGCACAAGCTCCCTACCCTGCAAAGCTGATGCTCCATAAAGGGTCAAGTTGGTGGTCAGTGGTCAAAGCCAGTCCTTACAGCTGATTGGCTTGGGTAAATTCCTCCCATTGACCTGCCAATAGCACTTGAGGTTCAACTACAAGAGAAGGGTGTACTCGTCCTACAGAAAGGACTGTGTAATCACCTCAAGTCCCCAGCTTGGGTGATTACAGTAGAGTGTGTCATACCCGTACTTATGAAAGTCATAAAAAGCAGGGACCTATAGCCAAGATTGCTCTACCCAGCAAAGCTACTTTTAACAATCGAACGGCACATAAAAAACTTCCAAAACAAGAAAAAACTAAATGAGTTCATCACTACCAAACTGTTATTACATGAAATGTTAAATGTTAAAGAAAATGGTTGTCAGTGGGACAGAAGTGTGAAGGAATGGGTGAATGGGTGAGGGGATTAAGAAGTACTGACTGGCAGTTACTGAATAGCCATGGGAATGTAAAATACAGCATGGGAGATATAGTGCCAAGTAACTTACATGCATAGCCCATGAACATGAACAATGGTGTGGGGATTACCTGAGAGGGTGGGGTGTGTTGGGCAGAGGGATGCAAAGGGAAGAAAATTTGGGACAACTATAGTAGCATAGTCAATAAAATAGAACTAAAAAAAGAAAACAAGAATGATACTCCACAAATATTAACATTCCCTTGACAACTCGTGTTGAAATCAATCATTTAATGAAGGTCTATAAACAACTTACAATTTTTAATAAAAAATATAGTTTACCATACCTTAAGATCTTGCCTTGTGGCAAGAAGTTCAGATTCCTTCCCATAGAAATCAGACTGAAGCTGTTTTAGATTTTCCTGACTTTTTTCATAGGTGTTTTGTAACACAGACATTTTCTCCTTCTCTGCTGCAAGTTCCTGCACTGCTTGGGTTGACTGCTGCTGTAGTTTTTTCTCAAGCTCTGTCTGAAATATACAATAGTTACTTAAAACAGTATGTAAGCCAAAAACCAGTTACAAATATAAAATTAAATCCACACAACTAAGAAGAATCTTGAGAACAAAGTGAACTGCATCCAAGCCCTATGTTTTTTCTACTTTAATAAAGAGTAACGTATGTACCACATAGTTACAAAGTTAAAGAATTACAAACTCCAACATGTTCAAATTTCAAAACCAAAAAAATGAAGGAGCAATTAAATAAGGAACAAAAGCATTTTAATGGAAAGCCCTAAGTATCCAAGTCTCAGGAGAGGGGCAGGCAACAACCACATTCTGAGAGAAGATGTGAGAGAGACTGTGGGAAATGACAACAGCTAACAGTTAAACTGAATAAAATTTGCACATGAAAGAAATTAAAAAGCTATTACTGTGTTAAAATTTTTCTCTCCTTGAAATTAGAAAAAAAAAGCTAAGGAAATTTCTATAGGTCATCTTTGTTAACATCAAGGCAGAAAAAGAAAGTCTTTCAAAGGTTCAACTCCTCTAAACTTCTAAACTTGTCGTTAGACTTTAAGAAGATTCAGAAGCTATGCACAAGTTATGCATTATTAAAATACATATATGCATGGTATGCAAATAAACACTTGGTTTTTAAACATACTACTTCAATGAAACTGCAACCATCTTTTTGCAATATCCAACAGTTATTCACATAACTATAACTATAGTTATTGGATATCCAATAGTTACGTCGTTGCTCACATCTTACCCCACCTCCCAGCAGTACCTGAATTAGGTGAGGATGTCTCCTCCCAGAAACATTTTCAGCCTGGTTTCCAGGCACCTTATGTTTTAGGTGCTCCTACCTCACTGGTTGTTCCCTCTTAAAATCTTTTATTAGATAGTGTTCTTCTGTTTGACTTCTCAAAATTACAGAGTCCCAAGTTTCTGTTCCTGGCCTTCTTCTCTTCTGTATACAGTCTCTCTCTAGAAGATCTCAACTAGACTCAAGGCTTTAAATATTTATTTACAACCGACTCCTGAATTTATTGTGTTGTCAAAAAAATTGATTTATTTTCTTTTGTAAGATGGCTCTAGAAGCACTTATTTATCTTTAACTTCATTAGAAACAATTTTATTAGTTTATATCATGACAGCTGTCCTACCAGCATGCATTTAAAAAACACTTACAAAAACTGGTGGGGATCCAAGATGACAGAGGAGTAAGTGGAAGCTACACTAACCTTTGTAGCTTCCCAGGACCAATTTAGAATTACAAAATGATCTAGAATTGTAGAGAAATCATCCAGAATAACAACTGAACACTAGCTGGAGAGAAGCCTTATAGCCAAGGACACAAGAGGTAAACCACTTCATTGCAATGAGACTGGTACCGTGTAGAGAGGAGGTGCAAACAGGCTGGCTGGGCTCCCACAGGCAGCAGCTGAAGTTCCAGAGGGATATTTCAGTGATTTGGAGGTCCCCCTGAGAAGTGTGAGGTCTGAACTCCAAGCTGGGCGCCCCAGTGTACAGCACCAGAGCCAGAAAGGAGGCCAGATAACACCCAGCTGTGAAAAGCAGCAGGGTTTCCGTCTGCCAGGGAAAAATGGCTAAAGACACAGTGACCCTTTTATAGGGCCAATGCACAACATTTCATTTACAGCAGTTTACCTTGGGCTCTAGCAAAGGGAGGGCAGAATGGACTAGAGGTACTTGAGGAAAGTCTAGGGTTGGTGGCTCTGAGGAGAAAACTGAAGTAAAAGCTGCCAGGGTCCCCATGCTAAATCATTCCCCATACTGGTGGAGCCATCTCTCTCAGGCAGAGCACTCCTCTCCCAGTGGCATCAGCCTGAGGGGAAGCAATAGCCCCGCCCACAGGAATTACTTTGCCTCAAGCTGTGGAGCTTAAACTGGGCTGCTGGTTACAGATTAAGGCTTTATCATTGATTAATTTAACAACTAAGTCAGAAAATACAAAGAAGCAGCCAAAATGGGAAGACAAAGAAACAGATACCAAAAAAAAAAAAAAACCCACAAGAATTCTCCAGAAGGAGAACTAGACAAAATGGAGGCAAGCAATTTATCAGATAGTTTAGAGTAATGATTATAAGGATACTCAACAACATGAAAAAAGACCCAGAAATTGTAGAAAAGGACCAGTCAGAAATAATAACGCACTATCTGAAATAGATAATACACTGGAAGGAATAAACAGTAGGTTAGATGAAGCAGAAGATCAAATCAGTGATTTGGAAGATGAAGTACAAAAAAACACCCAGGCATAGCAGCAAAAAGAAAAAAAGAAGAAAGAAAGAAAAATGAGGAGAGCTTAAGAAACATTTTGGACAACATTAAGTGTAACAACAGCTACATCATGGGAATACCAGAAGGAGAAGAAAATGAGCAAGCGATAGTGAAGATATTTGAACAAATGACTGAAAACTTTCCTAACCTGCTGAAGAAAAAGACACATAAGCCCAGGAAGCTCAGAGTCCTAAGCAAGATAGACTCAAAGACACCCACGTGAAAGCACAACATAAAATATCATAAAATGACAAGGCTTAAATAGACAAGAAGAGGATCCTAAAAGCCACAAGAGAAAAACAGGGAGTTACCTACAAGGAGCACTAATTAGACTGTCATCTGATTTCTCAACAGAAACATTTCTATTTATAGAAGCATGAAATAGAAATAGAAGCATAAAATATTCAAGATGATGAAAAGCAAGGACCTAAAACCAAGGTTACTTCACCCAGTAAAGCTGTGATTAAAAATTGAGAGAGAAATAAGGAGCTTCTCAGATAAGAAAAAGCTAAAGGAGTTTGTTACCACCAAACCAGTACTGCAACAAATGTTACAGGAGAAGAAGAAGAAGGAAGAGGAGGAGGAAAAAGAGGAGGAAAAGGAGATGAAGGAAGAAGGGGAGGAAGAGAAGGAAAAGAAGGAGGAGGAAGAGAAAAAAACAGAGGAAAATAGTCTAACAATATCATGACACTAAGCAGGTATTTATCTAAATGTAAATGGCTTAAATGCTCCAACCAAAAGAAACTGGATACCTGAATGGATAAGAAAACAAGACCCACATATATGCTTCTTCCAATAGACCATTTCATTTTGAAAGACACACAGAGACTAAAAGTAAAGGAATGGAAAAAATATTTCATGCAAATGGAAAGGAACAAAAAAGCCAGGACAGCAGTACTCGTATCCAATAAAATAGGCTTTAAAACCAAGGCTATAGTAAGAGACAAAGGACACTACATAATGATGAAGGGAATGATCCAACAAGAGGATACAACCCTAGTAAATATTCACATACCCAACATAGGAGCACCTAAATATGTGAAGCAAATCTTGATAGACATAAAGAGAGAAATCAACAGAAATACAGTCATAGTCATGGCTTTTAACACCCCATTGACTTCAATGGATAGATCCTCCAGACAGAAATTCAACAAGGAGATAGCAGCCTTAAATGACACACTAGATCAAATGGATTTAATTAATATCTTCAGAGCATTTCACACCAAAGCAGCAGAATATACATACTTTTCAACCCATAAGATATGTATTCTAGGGTATACCACATGTTAGGACATAAAACAAGTCTCAATAAATTTAAGAAGGCTGAAATCATGAAAGCATCTTCTCTGACTACAATGCTATGAAACTAGAAATCAATCACAAAACACTGAAAAACAAGAAAAGACATGGAAGCTAAATAACATATTACTAAACCATACATGGGTCTGTACAATGAGATCAAGAGAGAAATCAAAAGATACCTTGAGATAAATGAAAATGAGGACACAGCAATCCAAAATCTATGGGACACTGGAAAAGCAGTCTGAAGAGGGAAATTCATAGCAATATAGGCCTATCTCAAAAAAACAAACAAACAAACAAAAAAAACAAGAAAAAGCTCAGACAGTCTAACTTCAAACTTAAAGGAACTTGGAAAAAAACAACAAACAAAGCCCAAAGTGAGTAGAAAGAAGGAAATAATATTGTCAGGGAAGACATAAACAAAATAGAGTAAAAAAATGATACAAAAGATCAATGACTTCAAGAGCTGGTTCTTTGAAAAGATAAGTAAGATTGACAAACCTTTAACCAAATTCATAAAGAAAAAAGAGAAAGGACCCAAATAAATAAAATCAGAAATGAAAGAGGACAAATAACAACTGACACCAAAGAAATACAAGGGATAGTAAGAAAATATTATGAACAACTATATGCCAATAACCTGGACAACCTGGACAAAATGGATACATTTCTAGAAACATACAATCTTCCAAAAATAAATCCGGAAGAATCAGAGAATCTGAATAGACAGATTATACCCAGTTAAATTAAAGCAGTAATCAAAAAACTCCCAACACACAAAAGTCCTGGACTGGATGGCTTCACAAGTGAATTTTACCAAACATCCCAAGAAGAACTAACACCTTTGCTTCTCAAACTATTTCACAAAATTCAAGAGGAGGGAAGGCTCCCAAATTCATTTTATGAGGCCAGCATTATCCTAATTCCAAAACCAGAAAAAGACACTACAAAGAAAATTATAGGCCGATATCCTTGATGAACATACCATGCTAAAATTCTCTACAGAATATTAGCAAACTGAATACAACAATGCATCAGAAAGATCATACACCACGATCAAATGGGATTCATTCCAGGAATGCAAGGTTGGTACAACATTTGCAAATCTCTAAATGTGATTCACCACATAAACACAATGAAAGGTAAAAAACCACAGGATCATATCAATAGAGGCAGAAAAAGCATTTAATAGAATCCAGCCCCGTTTATGATAAAAAAACTCTCAGTAAAGTAGGATTAGAGGAAACATACCTAAACATAATAAAGGCCACATATGACAAACCCACTGCCACCATCTTACTCCATGGACAAAAACTATAAACATTCCCCTTAAGTAAGGAACAACACAGGTATGTCTGCTTTTACTTCTCTTAGTCAACATTAATACTGGAAGTTCCAACCACAGCAATCAGACAGGA